AAAAAAAAAAAAAAAAAAAAAAAAAAAAAAAAAAAAAAAAAAAAAAAAAAAAAAAAAAAAAAAAAAAAAAAAAGAGCTCTTTGAGGATGACGTGGTCATAGGTGGTGCCAAGCTGTGGTCTGCCCAGTCCTGCTCCTGGCTCACTGCTGTTCGCTCTTGCCGAGGAACCAGTTGGTCAGGAAGCCACACAACAGCCATGGCTTTTAAAGATACTGGCAAAACACCCATGGAGCTGGAAGTGGCAGTTCACTGAATTCAAATCAGTCTTAATGAGCTGGAGAGTAAAATCCCTGGAGAAGGTGTGTACTGACTTGATCAGAGAAGCATGGGAAAAGAATCTAAAAGTGAAAGGACCAGTTCAAATGCCTTCTAAGACTTCGAAAATCACTACAAGAAAAACTCACTTTGGTAAAGGTTCTAAGACATGAAATCATTTCCAGATGAGAATCCACAAGCAATGTATTGACTTGCACAGCCCTTCTGAGATTGTTAAGCAGATTACTTCCATCAGTATTGAGCCAGGAGTTGAGATGGAAGTCACAATTGGAGATGCTTAGGTCAACTATATTAATAAATTGATTATCGGTTGTTAAAAAAAAAATCAGAGTGCTCAGTCTAATTCAGCATGTATATATATTTCCAGGATTTGAACAAAGTTATAATTAGTCATTGAATAGTCTAATCTGTATTAACAGAAAGCTAGTGGTCTTTATTGTTGAGTTTATATGAGAGTTTCCCAAGATGTGAGAGTTGGATGACTGTGAAACTCAAGATGATTTTAGGTTGAAGATTAAAGAACAATGAAATGCATACTGAGAAAGTATTCCCTTTTAATTTACCTAACAGTCCTTTTGAGTTAGTTTAAAGGAGTTTCAATTCAGTTTGGTGCTAGTATATCTTTTAAATACTTGCTTATCTCCCTTTCTTAACTAAAGGGAGCAGGTCTCGGAGCTTTCTGTAGGTAACAGTACCTACAACTAGCTGTTAGTGATTACTGTATTTTTTCATTATCTATTTTTATTTATTTATTTATTGAGATGGAGTCTCATTCTGTCACCCAGGCTGGAGTGCAATGGCACAATCTCAGCTCACTGCAGCCTCTGCCACCTAGGTTCAACCGATTCCCCTGCCTCAGCCTCTTGAGTAGCTGGGACTGTAGGTACATGTCACCACGCCTGGCTAATTTTTGTATTTTTATTAGAGACGAGGTTTCACTGTGTTAGCCAGGATGGTCTGTATCTCCTGACCTTGTGATCCGCCTGCCTTGGCTTCCCAAAGTGCTGGGATTACAGGTGTGAGCCACCACGCCTGGTCTATTTATTTATTTTTGAGACAGAGTCTCACTCTGTGCTTGGGCTAGAATGCAGAAGCATGACTACAGCTCACTGCATCCTTCACCTGGGTTCAGGTGATCCTCCCACCTCAGCCTCCTGGGCAGCTGGGACTACAGGCACATGCCACCACTCCCAGCTAATTTGTATATTTTTTGTGGAGACGGGGTTTTGCTACATTGCCCAGACTGGTCTCAAACTCCTGAGCTCAAATGATCCTCCAACCTTAGCCTTCCAGAGTGCTGGGATTACAGACGTGAGCCTTTGGACCCAGCCTACCTGTTCTTAAATTTTCAAGCTAGCTGTTTATTTATTTATTAGACAGAGTCTCACTCTGTCACCCAGGCTGGAGTGCAATGGTGTGATTGCCACCCATTGCAACCTCCGCCTCCTAGGTTCAAGAGAGTCTCCTGTCTCAGGAGGCTGAGTAGCTGGTATTACAGGCACGCACTACCTTGCCTAGCTAATTTTTAATTTTTTAGTAGAGACAGGGTTTCACCATGTTGGTCAGGCTAGTCTGGAACTCTTGACCTCAAATGATCCACCTGCCTTGGCCCCCCAAAGTGCTGGGATTACAGGCGTGAGCCACTGTGCCCAGCTTTTATTATTATTTTTTATTTTTTGAAATAGAGTCTTGCTGTTTGGCTCAGGCTGGAGTGCAGTTCTGCAATATAAGCTCACTGCAATCTCCGCCTCCTGGGTTCCAGTGATCCTCATGTCTCGTGTCTCAGCCTCCCAAGTAGCTGGGATTACAGGTGTACACCACTATACCTGGATAATTTTTGTGTTTTTAGTAGAGACAGGGTTTCACTATGTTGGCCAGGCTGGTCTTGCACTACTGGCCTCAAATGATCTGCCCACATCAGCTTCCGAAAGTGCTGGGATTACAGGTGTGAGCCACTGTGCCTGGCCTATTTCTTTTTTTAACTTTTATTTTGGATTTGGTGGTACATGTGAAGGTTTGTTGCATAGGTAAACATGTGTCACAGGGGTTTGTTATACATACTATTTTCACCAAGGTTTTAAGCTCGGTACTCAATAGTTATCTTTTCTGCTCCTCTCCCTCCTCTTACATTCCCCTTCAAGTAGACCCCAGTGTCTGTTGTTTCCTTCTTTGTGTTCATAAGTTCTTATCATTTAGCTCCCATATTCTTAACTTTTACTTATTTGTTTGTTTATTTATTTTTGAGACAGAGTTTCACTCTGTTGCCCAGGTTGGAGTGCAGTGGCACGATCTCGGCTCACTGCAGCCTCTGCCTCCTGGGTTCAAGTGATTCTCCTGCCTCAGTCTCCCAAGTAGCTGGGACTACAGGCACACACCACCACACCCAGCTAATTTTTGTATTTTTATTAGAGATAGGGTTTCACCATGTTGGCCAGGATGGTCTCTATCTCTTGACCTCATGATCCACCCACCTCCTCCTCCCAAAGTTCTGGGATTACAGGCATGAGCCACCATGCCCTGCTGAGCCACTGTGCCTGGCCTTAACTTTTAATACATTCCAGTATACATATCAAAGTACTCCTGTCCTAAGTGTCTAGCCCAATGAATTTTCATTAACTGAATGCACCCACTTAACTAGCATCCAGACCAAGAAACATAACATTATCGTCCTTCCTGAACCCGATATACCCTGTAAGTTACTACCCATATCCCACTGTCCAAGGAAACCACCACCTTCTAACAGAATATATTCTTATCTGCTTTTTTACTTTACATAAATGGAATTGTAT